AAAAAAAAAAAAAAAGTCCTCTCATTCACGACTGCCTATTACCATCATGTCTTCCACATACCTAGCTTCTCTTCTCAACCCTTAGGTACTCCCTCCTCCCGAGAAGGCACTCTTTCTTCAGTGGGTCTCAGTTCTGTCCTGGGTACTGAAGAAGATGAAGATGAGGAGTATGAATACATGAACCGGAGAAGGCACGGTCCACTTCATCCCCCCAGGCCAAGTTCCCTCGAGGAGCTGGGTTATGAGTACATGGATGTGGGATCAGACCTCAGTGCCTCCCTGGGTAGCACACAGAGTTGCCCACTCCACCCTGTGCCCATCATGCCCACTGCTGGCACAACTCCAGATGAAGACTATGAATATATGAATCGGCGACGTGGTGGAGGTGGTCCTGGGGGGGAATATGCAGCCATGGGGGCCTGCCCAGCAACTGAACAAGGGTATGAAGAAATGAGAGCTTTCCAGGGGCCTAGCCACCATGCCCCCCATGTTCATTATGCCCGCCTCAAAACACTACGTAGCCTAGAAGCTACTGACTCTGCCTTTGATAACCCTGATTACTGGCATAGCAGACTTTTCTCCAAGGCTAATGCCCAGAGAACATAACCCCTGCTCCCTGAGATACTCAGGGAGTATTTCATGGCAGCTAGTGCCTCTAGAGGGTACCCCTATTTCTCTCTACTTCCTCTTCCTCTTTTACAGGTTTTAGCCCTACTTCGCCAGTCCTAGACAATTCTACTCAACCTTTGGAGGCTTTTAAACACTTTGACAAAAAATTCTTGTGATATGTAGCCAGCTGTGCACTTTCTTCTCTTTCCCAACACCGGGAAAGAAGGTTTTTCCCTGTTTTGTGTGCTTTCTCAGTCTGATTCCTCAGCCTCCTCACGGGGACTCCTGGAGATATGAAGGATTATTCTCCCTGTCAGTTTATCTCAGGCTCTGACTTATTGGGACTAGGTTCAGAAAGAGGAATGGGAGGAAACCTGGGAGAGGACAGTAAAATTTTAACGTATGACTCTTAATGTCTTAGAAAGACCAGGAAGCTTAAAAGTTTGTCAAGTGCAGAAAGAGGTTAGGAATACATATTGATTACTGTTAATTGAACACTATGAGCTAGGCATCATGTTAAACTTTACCTATACTATCTCATCCTTAAAACAATTCTGAGATACATATTATCCCATTATGCAGATAAGGAAAGTGAGCCTTAAAGAGACTAAGTAAATAAAGCAGCAGGACCAGGACTCAAAATCTTTCTAATTCCAGTGCACACCTCCTACTATAAGGTGTCAAGGAAAACTGATGTAAGTCAGAGCCCTTGTAAGGGTCATTGTTTTCTTTCTTTTGCACTGAATGAAGTCTAACTCCCAACAACCACATCCTCCTCCTGTGTCCAGACCTCTCATCTCAGGATGTGGTGGGGAAGGGGGTCAAAAGGAAAAGTAACAAAATATCTTTGGGTAAACCATAACCTACATGTGCTATAAATGATCTCCACTCCTTACTCACATCTGTCCCCAAGATCCACTTTTAGGAACTATTCTCATCCAGCAGTGAGAAGCTTCCAGATGGGACAGAAAGAAGACCCAGCTTCAGACCTCTGTCCCCTCGGATGGAGAACTGGGGGAAAATGTATGTTGTATCATTGAAGTTTTTTTGTTTTGTTTTTATACATGTCTGAATAAAAATGCAACAGCTTTTTTCAGGTTCCTGTCTGAAACACAATTAGTGTGTTAAATCAGAGACTACTCCCCTTTCTTCAACTGTAGATAGCTAACTTTCTCAACTTTTTTTAATTTTTAATTTTAATTTTTTTAATTTTGTTCTTCGAGACTGTCTCACTTTGTGGCCCTCAGTAGAGTGCTGTGGCATCATCCTCTTGCCTCAGCTTCCCAAGTAGCTGGGATTAAAGGCGCCCCACCATAATGCCGGGCTATTTTTAGAGACAGGGTCTTGTTCTTGCTCAGGCTGGTCTGGAACTCCTGAGTTCAGGGGATCCTCCAACCTCCACCTCCACAGGCACTAGCCACCTCAAGTTTTACTTTCATGTACATAGAGTACAGTCCTCTTTATTTAAAGGTTTTACTGGGGGGGTACCATATACCCAAGGTGTCGGGTTCAAACCTGGCCCCAGCCAAAATTGCAACAAAAACTAGCCGGGCGTTGTAGTGGGCGCCTGTAGCCCCCAGCTACTTGGGAGGCTGAGGCAAGAGAATCGCCTAAGCCCAGGAGTTGGAGCTTGCTGTGAGCTGTGATGTCACTGCACTCTACAAAGGGCGACAAAATGAGATTCTGTGGTTTTACTGGGAATCTACAGAGCAGCCAACTGGGAATAACAAAACAAAACCAAAAACCTAACGTGTTTGGTGAAATTAAAGCCCTATAGACTTTCTCCGTTAGAGGCGTAAGATTGAAACCTCCGGAAGCTTCTGAACTCATTCTTTCTTTTAAGAGAGTCACCATCCAGTTAGATGTGGCCCACAGGAAGAAAGTGTTAGCCAACTTGTTTTTCTTTTTTCTGAGAGTCTCACTATCACCCTTCATAGACTGCTGTGGCTGGCGTCTCAGCTCACAGCAACCTCAAACTATTGGGCTCAAGAGATCCTTCTGCGTCAGTTTTTCTAGAGTTCGGGGGTCTCGAACTCCAGAGCTCAGGCGATCCACCCGCCTTGGCCTCCCAGATTGCCAGATTATAGGAGTGCGCACCGCGCCTGGCCAACTCTTAACACTTCACTTAGGCGCCATCCATGGCCACTGTTGGACAATGCCATCCTACTTCATTGGAAGTCCGGGCTTTAAGCGTAAGGAGGCCTTTAAGTGAATAATCCCTGCAGACTCTACCTACCCAGTTGGCCCCTGCAACCAGAGCCCTTGGTCTGCTTCCACACCTGCTCTGCCCCTTTGTATTCTCCCAGCATTGGAGCGCGACTGGACCGGCTCGGCCGGTCTCGCCAGCTGAACCAGGTATCTAAAGAAGGGCACGCCCAGCCTCCGCGCCCTAAGTGTACTGTAGACATTGCCCACCAGGCTCGGCTCCACCCAGCTCCACCCTACCGCACCGCCTCTAAACCCAACTCCCCGCCGTAGTTCCACCCCTCTCTCAGCCACCCCCTCTATTACGGTCTTTGGCTCCGCGCTCTGGGTGGAAGTGGTTTTTCCGGGAGAGACCACGCGTCCCCTCATACTCCCCAACGGCTCCGCCTTCCCGCCGGAGCCTGACCCTTCCCAGCGTGCCCGTCGATTCCGGCGTGCAAGACCCTTGGAGGGCAAGGCCCCAGGGCCTGGCGTAGGAGCGCGGAGGACAGACTGGGAATTGTAGTTCGCACGTCCGCGAAGGCGACCAGAGGCTAGCGGTGGGAAGGACTCATTGTCCCAGCGTGCCCTGCGCCTCAGCCCGCGCGCTCGCAGCTTCTAGCTCTCGCCTGTCTGCCCGCTCCCTTGCTTGCTCGAGCTTTCGCTCGCTTTCTCCTCGGGGATCGAGGTGGCTCTGATCACAGCCTGCGGCTGGGAAGTGAGACTGAGGCGGCAGCTCAGGGAAAACGAGGCTGTAGTGGTCGTGGTGGTAAGAAGATGTCGGGCGAGGACGAGCAGCAGGAGCAAACTATCGCCGAAGACCTGGTCGTGACCAAGTATAAGATGGGGGGCGACATCGCCAACCGTGAGTGCGGCCTCGGGGGTCCGGGAATCGATGCCGAGAGGGAAAAGTGCCAGGCTGGCTCCGGAGGGGCCGGAGCGGCGGGGTCGTGCGGAGAGAGAACTACTGTGGGGCCCGCAGTGGTCCTCTGGGGGCGGCGTGGTGGGAAGACTTAGTGTCGCGCCTGGGACCTGAGCGGCCAGGCCTGGGCTGGAGTCCGCGGAGGTGCGGGCCGGCTACCGGGAAGAGCGCAGACAGGGGCCCCCTGCAGCCTCCGACCCTAGGCCGTTGGTTAGGAGGCACAACGCGTCAATGCTACCCTTAAGTCCGGATTTCTGCTTCCTCTGATTATGGCATCTCCGAGGCCACCTCGAAAAGGAAGCGCCCAGCTGTTGGCGACTGAAGCGCTCCTGTGGCTTGTCGCATCTCTGGGGTATCAGGAGCCCAGCCGACACGTGTTGCTGGGTCCCCATGTGGATCGCTGGCTCCCTTATTACACTATAGTCCCTGACACCAGCCTCCTACCACGTGCTTTGCCGAGTCTTCCCTTTACTTCAACTCTTACCCTGGTGGGGGCCCCCTTCTACCCTAGGGCCAGCTCAGGGGACCGTTGGAGGGCACTCCTGGAGCTCCTAACATAAATCTAGGAGATATGTGTGGCTTTTCTTGGAGTTATTCATTCCTATCACTCTAATTTGTATATAGTTACAGTTAGCCTTCAGATTTGTTCCCAATGACTTGACAACTAGAGGAATGTTTTTTGTCCCTCCTTTTACCCCAGGTAGGCAGGCTTGTGAAGAGTACTGGGAAAGGAAGAATTGATTTTAGGATTGTCATAAGTCATCCTTATTCGAGCCGTGCTCTGACTTTCTCAGCAGTTGTCTGCAGCCCTAGACAGATGTCACACTTTTTATTTTTTCTTCCCCATTCACCTTTCCATTTTAAAACTCAGGGAGATAGGAACTTTTTCTCTTTAGGTGTTTGAGTGGTTTTGACAGTAAAAATCATTGGGAGGAGGTATTTAGGATGCCTTTGGTCCTACTTTCCAGCTTCCAGAGGATCATCAAAACAGAAATCAAAAATTAAACCTGAAGTTGAGGACAGATCAGGGTGAGGGCATGAAAAGACCAAAGCTTTATAACACAATGCACATTTAGTATGGTTTCCTTATTTTTGCTGCCTTTTAATATTTAATGTTAGTGGTTTGAATCAGAAAAAAAAATTTTTTTCCTGCCATTTGTAATTTGAGGCTCTTGTGACCTCAGGTATAAGTTTTGAAACTTTAGGATCACATACATACCTCTTTGTGATCTATTTAAAGTTATAAGCCATGGGACCTGGAAACACCAAGACCTTAGATGAAGTCCTCTTGGCTTATACACTTTTTTGTGAGGAAATAAGTGTACATAAATTGAGATTACTAAACACCTAATTACAGTGTCTGAGAAGGGAAGACAGAAATATTTTAACAATGCGTCAGTTTCGAGTCAGCAATTGTGTCAACCTTCCGGTTGTCCCTGATGCCTATAAATTTCTTCTAATTGTCTTTGTATGTATGTGGGATATCTTGGTTAAAGCCCCCTGAAGTTCCTAACTCTGGCCTAACACAAAGTATTTTCTTTGTAAAGCCTGAGGCCTTTCCTTAGGAGAAAAATTGTGTATAAACCACTTGTCACATAATGTAAGAAACAGAAGGGCATGTTGACCTTTTTTACTTTAGGAAAGGAAGGTAAAAATTAGAGATTTTACATTCTAAGAGGTAAAACTTGTTTCCTTTTTCAGTCTGAGGGCAGTGGCACTAAGGGAGTATTAGAAACTCTGACTCGGCTCGGCACCTGTGGCTCAAGTGGCTAAGGCACCAGCCACATAACACCTAAGGTGGCGGGTTCGAATCCATCCTGGGCCCGACAAACAACAATGATGGTTGCAACCAAAAAATAGCCAGGCGTTGTGGCGGGCGCCTGTGGTCCCAGCTACTTGGGAGGCTGAGGCAGGAGACTCGCTTGAGCCCAGGAGTTGGAGGTTGCTGTGAGCTGTGATGCCACAGCACTCTACCCAGGGGGACAGCTTGAGTCTCTGTCTTAAAAAAAAAAAAAAGAAACTCTGACTCCAACTTCTAGGTATTACTTGGGTGGTAAGTGGACAGTGAATACATGCGAGGCTGATAATGGTGGCATTCTATCCCCAGGGGTACTTCGGACTTTGGTGGATGCATCCAGTTCAGGTGTGTCAGTACTGAGCCTATGTGAGAAAGGTGATGCCATGATTATGGAAGAGACAGGGAAAATCTTCAAGAAAGAAAAGGAAATGAAGAAAGGTAAAAAAAAAACAAGTCCTTCACTAACTTCCCAAGTTTGACCCTTGTTTGGTCCTATATGAGTTTTGTTTTTTTTTTTCATTATAATGATATACCCCCTACTCCAGTACCCTAATAAAGCCCCAAATTTCCACATATTTTCTGGTTGAGATATCTGAAAATTTGGAATAGCAAGTGCAATATAAGCAGTTACCTATCCAATCTGAGGAAACTTCAAGCAAGACTATGAAAAAAAAATCCTTCCATTTTCCTGAAGCGCAACAGGGCTCCCAGGAGAGAGCAAAGCAGTAAGGCTGATGACTCTTTCTTTACAGGTATTGCCTTTCCCACCAGCATTTCAGTAAATAACTGTGTATGTCACTTCTCCCCTTTGAAGAGTGACCAGGACTATATTCTCAAGGAAGGTGACTTGGTAAAAATGTAAGGTTAAACCATTTTAAGGCATTTGTCTTTTTCTAAAGCATTTACATAGTGCTGATTCCTAACACAGTACTCTGGTCATGCCTTTTAGTGACCTTGGGGTCCATGTGGATGGCTTCATCGCCAATGTGGCTCACACTTTTGTGGTTGATGTAGCTCAGGTAGGTAGGCCTGCATTTGATCTCTGTTCAACCTTGGGGTGTGGGGGGGAGTGCACTGCCATTTGTCTCTTACCCTGACCCTGTCACCACATAAGTTTTGAGAGAGTTTCTAGAGAAACAAAAAGGTTTTTTTCTCTCCTATTCATTGCCTGGCCTTTGCATATGGATACATAGATA